AGTCCATTAACACCAATATCAGCCCCCAAGTCCCCCAGTTTACTGTTCACAAATTTGGGACGATAAAGTGTTTTCACTCATCCTCTTCACTGCACAGATCCAGTCTGGGCGCACTTCTGTCTCCCAGGGGTTACACTCACATCCCCCAGGGAACGGGAACCAGGTTCTCCCTGTGCCTGGTGCTCTGAGCACCTCGTCCCCACGCCTGATCTGCAAAGGCTTTCAATCCAGAGGGAGACTGGAGTGCACGAATACCAGACCTGGGACTGTCCCCCAGGTTCCCCAGCCAGGAAAGGGGTCACTACCCATTATTGCTGCCAGGAGCAGCAGGGTAGGAGGCGCAGGGGGTCGAGGTGTTCCTGCCCAGGGGGAAATGCTCCTTCATTGGAAGAACCACCCAGGACTGGGTCAAACACTTCCCACCAGCGTCACGCACCGGGGCTCTGAAACCCCCAAACACGGCCTCCGGCCATGCAACGTCCTGCCTGCCTGTCCCCAAAACCAGCACGGCCCTTGCGTGGCTCCAGCGTGCGCAGAGCTATTGCTCCTCATCTTCCTGGGGTCTGTCCCAGAGCAGAGGCAGCTGCAGCGTGGCACCACGTCAGGGCAGCCTGGGCTTATCTCCAAGGCAAACAGGCTTAAAAATGTGACAAGCTATAGACGGCTTTTTGTCTAAACATTGCTTTCCACGAGGTAGTGCGTTCCTTGCCATCCCGCAAGCGTGATAGAAAAATAATACTAAACGACTTGTGAGCCTTATTAATATGTATTCAGGTCATCTGCTCTCTGCAAGTTTTTGCAAGTGACTTGCGGTGTGCAGTTCATGCAGGATCCATAAATAAAAAACATCTCTCTGGAATCTCGGCGGGGTCGTATTAGCACGGGAACATAACAACTGCCTTTGTGCATGCAGAGGGATGAGGGGGTGACGCAGCCCAGCCGGGCTGAGCCGTCCAGCCCACTGCTTGCATCTCACAGCACCCCAGCCCAGGCTCCCAGACCAGCTGGATGCACTGAGAGCTGGGAACTCCCTTTAATCTGATCTCTCCCGAAGTGAAGGGCGGGTTTAAAGACAACATAAGCACCAAAGGAAAAGTCACGTCAAACCACGTGCTGTGTGACCGTGCCTTGCAGTTTCGCTCCCACAGCAGGCTTTGCAGGGGTCCCAGTCTGACCGCGAGGCAGAGGGGTTTCAGGACACAGACTCGGTGTGCTTGCAGGGCCAGGTCAAGGATGAGTGTTAATTTGACCTCTTCCCTTGATTTTCTTCATTTTTTCTTTTCTGGCCTCCCGCTCATTATAGCATTTGGGCTGGGTGCTCCAGCACAAGCCCTAAACCCAACGTGGTTTATCTGCAAGGGGCCCTGTCTGCACATCAAAGGCTTTCTAAATTTTTAAGGGGCTGTTGTGATCATCTACTCCACCCTCCTGTGAGCCACAGCACTCAACCGGGTTGTTTTTTTCGTGGTCGAGCAGAGCACAGCGCTGCCCTCAGACGAGCTCAGGGGTGCCAAGGCACGCCAGGTTGCTTTGGGCTGGCTGCAGGGTGGGGTTTTCCTCCTGCACCGTTGCAGCACATCCACAGCAGCCATGTCTCCGTGCCGCCCTCTGCATTACCTCCGCTCTGCCACGCTCCTTCCTTCCCTGCTGCGGGTCAGCCACGGGCTGCAGTCCCAGGGGAGTCCCCGCTCCAGGAACACACTGGGTGCTCACAGGTGACCCAACGGGGAAATCACGTGTAAATCACTCGGTGCTCATGCGTGAAGTAATTGAGCTGTCATGCACGCACTAATTGGGCATTAATGTGCAAAATAACTGGGCGCTCATGCGTGAGCTACTTGGGTGCTCATGCATGCACTAATTGGGGGCTCATGTGCACAGTAATTAGGCATTCATGCATGCACTAACTGGGCATTCATGCGTGGACTAATCCTGCACTTGTGCGTGAACTAATTGTGAATCTGTGTGCAGGTTCACTGCGCGCTCATGCAAGATCTTTTTGGTTGCTCATGCGTGCACTGGTTGGGCACTCACGCACCTCCCGGGCCCTCATGCATGAACTAATTGTGTGCCGATGCACGTACTAATTGGGTGCTCATGCATGAACTCGTTGGGTGCTCAAATGTAAATTAACTGGGCACTTGTGCATTCACTGATTAGACACTTATGCAGGAGTTAGTTAGTTAATTAGGCACTCATGCATGACCCGACCGGGTGGTCATGCGGAGACAAGCAGAGCCCAGCGGAGTGGCAGCCCCGCACAGGGCAGGGAAACCTGCCAGCACCAAGCATGGGACGGCGCAGCACCAAAAATACCCACTGGTTCCCCCGGCACGCGTGAGCTGGTGGTTTTGTCTCCCCAGCAGCCTTGCTGCTGCACACGAGCTGATCTCACACCTTCCCCCAAGCTCCCTGGGGCGTAGGAAGGAGCTGCTGCCGTACAGACAACTTAAACTCTGTTCTGGCACAGCATAAATATGAGAAGCTCCAAAAGCAGGAGACAAGGTCTCCACTGTGTAAAATGATTTAGGTCAGTCTCACTTCTGTAATGATTTATTTAAGCTCTAGCAGTTCCTGGCCTGTGAGGGAAAAAATGAGGGAAAAAAAATAGAATCCCCCGTATTTACACTATTTTTCTGTAGTGTTTATGTTGTGGAAGCTACAGCATCATCTGCCAGCGCTGTTTTAATCCAGGCCTGCAGACATTTCCACTACACACTCACATTTCTTGGGATTGTTCTTCAAGGTGGAGCAACTTGCTAAGCACAAAATCTCAGCCTGCAAAAGCTTTTGAGTCGCTGTTTGTTTCTCACTGAAAAGCAGGTCCTGTCCCTCGATCACTACCGAGGCTTTACCAGAAATGATCCTGCATCCCTGCAATCGAGAAAATGGACGTTGCAAGCGGACTTAGAAGCAAAGCAGCCAGAAACAACCCACTGTGGGTGCAACTCTGCAAACCCACGCCAGCACCAGCCCAGCACAGCAGGACCAGAAATGAGGGGCTCCCAGGACGGGCACTGGAGGCGATGCCTAGCTAGGTAGCTAGGTATATAAATGTATACGTATATATGTATATATACCAGGCAGGTATTCACGGGCTCGCTGTGACACAGGTGCCTGGGCCAGCAGCCCAGCGGGCTGGCATCAATGAAAGCACCGGCCAAACCCCCCTTCCCTGCCCTCCTCGCCAGCCCAGTCAGTCGTCTGTTAATGCTCTCACTGGACACAATGGAAGGAGCTGCAACAGTTGATCCGATCAATAAATATACATTTTATACATCCCTTAAGTCTGTAATATCTCTCTGTATATAAGAGGCCACAAGGGATTTTGTTTTAATTAGAGGAATGCTTAAGGCTTGCTCTGCCTACCATTTAATCTGCCTTAGAAATGTAGCGGGGGAAAGGTTGTCCTCACACAGAGCTCTGCTCACAGCCCAGCTTCTCACCAGCAGCAGCAACCCGAAGGCTCGGTGACAGCACGAGGGCAGGACCAGGGAGACAGAGCGGAGCACAGCCCGTATCCACCTCCCTCTGGCACCTCCAGCACGAGCCAGGAAAATAAGCAATGCTAAACCGGAGTGGCTCTGATCCCACCACCCTTTGGACTCGGTTCATCTCCTGCCACAAGCCTGACGGTACGGAAAGTGGCTGTGCCTTCTCTAGGCACAAGGGACTTACTTATAAACAGTTGGCTGAAACCCTGCTTGCATCTCCAGCGTGAGTGCCAGGCTGTTGGGATGCAGGGAATAATCCCATTTTCCTGCCAGTGATGGGGCTCTTCCTCCTGACAGCGATGCCCTGCGTAAGAAGGGTCGAGTATCCGAACACCGCCCGCTGCAACAGATCCACTTTCGGGAGATAGCCTTAAACAGCCACAGCACCTACCCAAAAAGCACGGAGCTCCACTGCTGGCTGCGTGTTGTGCAGAGGCAGGAAGAAAACTCAGCTTTTAGTATTTTACTGCATATGAAATCTCATGGTGTCCTCCCAGCACACAACCCAAGCCCCAAGGAAGCCCCTCACAGCGGGACACCCCCCTGAGCAGCCTGGGGATCGCTGCGCTGGGGGTTTCCTCTCAGTTCCTCTCCTGCACGCAGCGAAACACGCCTGGACTTGATTTATTGGGGTTTAACTCACGCCTGGGGCTGCGAGCACCACATCCATCCCCTGCCCAGCACCCCCAGTCTGAGGGGTGCTAGTTATTCATGGCGATACGGGGAGGAGGTGTCAGGAACGCATTTCATGGCAGGGAAAGAGTAGAGGTTTCTAGCGAACAAAATACACACTGCCAAAGTTTGCAAAGGTGGTGGTTTTTTTAAGGGATTGTAACAGCTGCCTAGGTCCCACGTCGAGGACATATCCGTGGGAGGAAAGCAAACCTCTGCACAGACGGCATGCGTCCTCGGAAACAGCCCTTGGTGGCCTCAGGCGGCTCTGCCTCCGTGCTGGGCTCCACGCGAGCCCATGTGTCAGCCACCATCAAACACATCTGTCTTTGCCGTGGAGCACCAAGAAGCCAGCGGGTTTCTCCGGGCTCCCGTGCCGCTGCCAGAGCTGCACCCAAACCCGTGCCCTTGGTGTAAACCACCAACGCGGGTGTCTGGAAGGTGCATTTCGAGTTCAGCCCCAGTCCATCACAGCGCTCAGCTCGTGTTTAACTCCAAACAGGCAAGCAATCGGTTAGGGAGCAAAGCTGCCCTCTGCCCGGGAGGATGAGGAGGAGTAAAAAGGGGAATAATAAACAAAAAAAAGCCCTAGAAGAAAAAAAAAAATACTCACTGACGTCTTTGATGCTCTCAGAGCAAACAAAAGTATATGGAGGCACTGCTTTATGTTCGCCCCTAGGACCGGCAGCACACATTTATTGTTTTCTTCCTCTGCTGTTAACAGCAAAAAAGCCTCGCAGGGGACGGCCCTGGGCAGAGCGAGCTGCGGCCACACGGGCCATAATGGAAATCTGACGGACCTTGAAGCAGCGTGTGTGCGTGCACAGCCCGGCGATGCATCGCCGCCGCTTCAAACAGAAAGCAGATTCCAGCTGCAGCCCCGTGCGCAGGGAGCGAGGGGAGGTGGTGCCGGGAGACCACGGCCCGGGCCTCGTGCGTGGGATCACGTCGGTGGAGAACACCCGTCCTAGGTGGTGGCAGCCCCGGGGGCCAGCAAAGCCCCCCTGGAGGCAACGCTGACGCGTGCTGGGCTTGAAACTGGCCTGCCACAACGAGGAGAAATGAGGGCTGGCGCAGGAGGGAGCTCAGCACGGCGCGTCTCACCGATTTGCTCTGGAAAGGCTTCGCCCCGTTGTGTCCCACCTCCCCACCGGCTTCTTTCTCCGTTCACAGCAGCGCTGCAGAGGATAAACTCAGCAAATCCAGTTCCCACCGCAAAACACCCACCGTGTCTCTTTAAACTCAGTGCTGCACGTCTAAGGAAAAACTCTGTTACGGAAGGGCAAATGAAGGAAGCAATAAAGTCCTCAGCATTATCCAAAGCGTTGGGTTTACGGGTAACTGGTTCCCGTGGAGGAAAAGCGGCTTTTACTGGTGCTGCAGCTCCCCGCCCTCGCCAGCCCAGCTCTCCCACACGTCCTCATCCCATGAAGCTCGCTGCTCCTTTGATCCTTTCTTTCTCATGTGTGGTATTTCACGGAGTATAAAAATGTTAATGTGCTTCCTGGGAAACTATCAAAATAATATCCGACGTTCATGCTTGGGTGCTGCCTCGAAAATACAATGATCTTCTGCTATTCTTATTTACTGCACCCTCAAGCAACTGCACCTAAAAGGCATATTAGGAAAAAGAAAAAAATCAGGTTTCTTCTTTGTTTTTCACATTTCAGCTGGGCTGCTGCGGTAAGTCAGGTGCCGTACAAGACATGAAAACCGTCACGTTTTCGCTTTGCACTGCACAGCAGAGTGAAGGACAGCCACTGCCGGTAAAAGATATCCAGGGTGTTTTCACTCCTAATTCCTGACTACATATTTTAACTTGCTAATTGAAAAGCAGTTGATTTTGCACCTTTCACCTTCTTTAAGAATGATTTGGATATGAACTGTGAGGTTTCCTAACCGGGGAACGTCTGGATAATAAAATGCTGTGAAACAGGATTTCCAGTGGGAACAGAAACAGGCCTTTTAGCAGAACCTTTTAGCCGGGGCGCTGGGCTCGGCAAACTGCTCAGGAACTTGGCAACTGCTCCCACCCCGGGCCTTTTGTAAACATCTAGTTTATTTCTCCGCATTTGTTTTCCTTTCATTGAGCTCAGACGGTAGAAATATCTGGCTCAGTGTCACTTGTACCTTGGTCTGCGTGACTTTTTGTATCCAAGCGGTTATCGCAATCCCTCGCCTTTCTCAAATGTTTACATAAAGTTACGCATGTCAGCGAAACAGTTCCTAAAACTTTATTTGTATTTAAAAATATTCTGCTTGAAACAAATTTTAATGCAGTTCTCACTCGTTCTATTTCCTTGTATTAAAAAAATCAGCAAACCCACATTGATGCCACAGGGGCCGCATCCCATCATCTCTTTTCAGAGGGAGTGGGGACGTCGGCAGCGCCGCCAGCAGCTCTCTGATGGAAAGCTAATGGAAAACCTCCTTTTAAAAACCACTGAGGCCTAGCAAATTGGGGTTATTTTTGGAGAACAAAAAGATTCAGCTCTACCCACGCTCCTGAGGCTCGGCGGCACGGCCACCACGATGTCTAAATGCAGAGTTCTCGCTGCCTGTAGCAGGGCAGCTGACGGCTGTGCCACGGCACTGCGGTTTCCTGGTGGGGACGGTGACAGATGCCACACACCAAATAAGAAGCTATCGATACCTCTAATGGACACGTACAAAACTCTGCCTGTTTAATTAGCCCGGCAGCACGGGGCTCTTGCTGCAAGGGCTGGCTCGCTCGGCGTTACCTCCCCGGTGTTCTGTCACCGCTCACTATTTCAGTTCCCTGTATCAGGACGGCATCGTTCGCTCCGAGTCGAAGCACGAGCGGTGGAAAAGGAGGTGCCGAGCGGGATCGGCGAGGTCCCGGCACTGGTGCCGTGCCACCAGCGTGCGCTACGGCAGCAGCTCTATGGCAGATCCCGGCACAGACAGCTCAGCCGGCCGTATGCCGCACGCCTGGGGCGTGGGAAGGCGTCGAGGGAAAAGGAGGCAACTCCGGGAAATGCACAGAGAAATAAAAATAGCAAAAGAAAAAGGAGCAAAGGAGCGGTCGCAGGGGAAACCCTCGCCGGCCAGTCTCCGCCCAACCACGAGGACCTTTCTGAAATGAGCAACCGAAATGGGTACACTCCTTTTCGCTTATTTATTCCTTGGCAAGAATAAACCTTAGCAGGTTTATTTTCATTAACAGTTTACATTCATTTTCCTCCGTCCACGTCAGGCTTTGGAGCATCCCAGCAGGCAGGGAGAGAGAAGAGCAATGAAACCGGCTGCTGCAATATTCAGTGACAGCGGGAGGCAGGGAGCAACGGAGAGCGGGCAGAAGGAGCCCGCAGAGCCCTGTATGAACATAAATGTTTTCCCAGGGAAAGAAATCAATTAAAACAGGGTTAAACCACAACAGGGGCTCATTTAAACTTTTCAGTCTCCGCTAACCGCTGCCTCTTCCCCTCCCCACCCCCAGACGCGGTGCGCTGGCACGTGGGAATCAAAGGTGAAACCAGGCGCTGAAAATCAGAGTAACATAAAAACGAGACAGCAGAAATCACATCAAAACCCCTGATTTTTTTTTTTTTTTAAATAATTAACCTTTAATTACCGCTAGCAAGACAAATAACCACATGCGATTTAACTAGATTCTGCTTCCTTGCATCCCTTCAGCCAGCCCGGCAGGTTGCTGGAGACCAGCCCGGGGTGAGGAGGTGGCTCGTGGTCCTGCGGTGCCGCAGCTGCAGGAAGGGGTCCGGGCTGCGCCGGAGGGTCCCGTGAAGACCTCAGCAGTCTGCTCCGGGGACCTTACGATCACGGCTCTGCCGAGCACATCGTGCTTAACAGCTGTAATGGTGTAGCTGTTCTAATGAAGAAAAAAGAGCAATGTTTCAGAATTTCTAAAAATTAGCATTTTCACAATGCCTTCCGGGTGTGATTTGAATTCAGGTGGCATTATCCTTGGAAAATGCCAGCCCATGCAGCCTGCTCTTCTGGGTGGCTTTTCTTCTTTAAATCTCTACCTGTGTGTGCCCTTTCAGGCTGGCTTTCAGGAAAAATTCACACCGTCAAAGTGTGCTGTGTTTTTTCTTTGCATCAAGACATGCTACAGCATGTGCATATGAAATCTTTAAATCTACATATATAAAACGAGCTCTGCCACCATCCGCTTTTATGGGTGTTGTGGTTTAACCGGGCAGGCAGCTAACCACCGCACAGCCGCTTGCTCACTCCCCCCTGCAGTGGGATGGGGGAGAGATTCAGGGGGAAAAAAAGAGTAAAATTCATGGGTTGAGGTAAAGACAGTTTAATAGGACAGAAAAGGAAGGGAAAATAAAATAATAATAATAATAATGCTCATGATGATGATAAAAGAATATACAAAGCAAGTGATGCACGATGCAATTGCTCACCACCCGCCGACCGATGCCCAGCCAGTCCCCGAGCAGTGGCCCCCCCGGGCAGCTTTCCCCAGTTTATGTACTGAGCATGACGTCCCATGGTATGGAATGAAGCACTGCTCAGCAACAACTAAAACATCGGGGTGTTATCAACATTATTCTCGTACTACATCCAAAACACAGCGCTGTACCAGCTGCTAGGAAGAAAATTAACTCTGTCCCAGCTGAAACCAGGACAGTGGGAAGTATTTTCAAACTTACACACGCTTTCCTTGTCTTATCAATGTACTCAGAGTTTCTCTGAAATAAATCACAGACTGTATTTTTGCATCTTTTTTGCACATGCAAGTTAATAACTTTGACAACATTGAGGCACTATTTAAAATTGAAGGGCCCCAAAATATCAGCTTAATATTTCAAGCTCCGGAGACACTTTCTGTGCAGTTTCGTGTGTCTGTTGAAATGCCAAAAGAAACCACTCAAGCAGCATATTCAGAACGACTGTTATGGGAGGGAAACAGCAAGTTTGGGCAATTCAAAGCTTAGTTCTCCAAAAAAAACGTTACAACTTAAGACGCCATTTTAAAAATGACCCTTTTCTTCCAAACGATCTGAGCTTTGATGAACTGTTATTTTGCAACAAAGATCAGTCAAGACTAATCCCAGCTGGATCGTACCATACCGAGGAGGCTGCCTGCGATTTAGGAAAAACAGGTTCTCGCTAGCAGAGCCAGGCGAGTGCTGAAGGTGATGAAAGGCAGCAGGCAGAACTGCGACCCAACCCACCCAGCTCGGCCGTGGGCTGCGGTCCCTGCTCTGCCCCTAACCCTGCCAGCTCACCTTGGGAAAAACACGTCGCTGCCAATGCCTCTGTTTCATCATAAATAGAAACGAGCAGTGACCCCATCACAAAGCATTTCGGTACCTTTGCATAAGAAGACCCACCTGCGGCATCGGGACGGTTATTTGCGAAGAGAGCGAGAGTGCATTTCCACACCGCGGGAAGAGGTCTGGGGATGAAGGGGAGAGGAAGGCAGGCCGTGAAAATGCCAGAAAGGGCCAAACCAAAGTTGCTGTTTTTCTTTCTCTACCTGAGAAGAGCTAAAGCAGGCTGAGGAGCGGCTGCAACAGTGTTCTCCAGCGTATCTCCACCCGGGTGAGTTCAGCACGCCGAGACGCTTCCCGTACTGGGTTACACGGTTAATGCTTGGCGTTAGTCATCAATCTTCTCCGTTTGGAAGCCCTGTTCTTCATTTCTCTCATTTTGAGAATGAAAGCTTGTCATTTTACAGTAGTTGGCCTTCTCTTTTAGCAGGATTATTTGCCATTTCCTTCCCAGCAATTTATTTTCTACATAATTAATGTTTAATGATTCTCCACATATACATTTTGCCAGAAAGCCAAAAGCGACTCTGACAAAGCAAGTAAATGTTCTGCAGCTTATCCAACTGTTTTAAGCGCTCCGCTGATAACACAGAGCTAAAAAAGGTAATGAAGAAGAAAACATTCAGTATTTCTATAAAGAGACACTTCATTAAGGTAATTAAGGCAATCATTTAAAGCAGTTACGAGGATTATTAACACACGACAAATTATGCAATAGGGTTTTCGCAAACCAGGCGGACTTACCATTATTTTATGACGCCTTTAAGAATAACCTTCAGCAGCTTAATACGCTTTTGAAAATAAAGACTCATTTCTTGGCAAAGGATGGAGCCTTCTCTACACCTGGGAAGAGCCTATTTGGGGTCTTTGAGATTTGTTTTTTTGTGGGGAGGGGAGTTGTTCTTTTTTTTTTTTTAATACACAACAAGTATTTCTACTGAGCTGGCAAATAACCGAATTGGCTCGTTGAATTGTGCTGGTTCAAAAACATGTATTTACCTAAAAGCACCCCCTGAAGTCACGTAGATCAAGGCTGGAACCACAGGGGCACCGCAGTCCCCGTCTCACCAGTTCGTATTCCGCTACGAACGGGATTGTGAAACCGTAACGCTCTTTTAGAGATGTAGAAAATCCCTGGATAGTCGGTAGTTTATACTTTGCAAACCACCACTCCTGAAGATGCTTTCTCACAACACCTTTCAGTGATTTAACAGGAGTCTTTATTTAAACCACTAGCAATCCAACATGGGTATTACCAATGTTAAAAATCACTAGAGCAGAGCACATTACTGTACTTTAACCTACACGAGAGAAAAATGAAAGGCATTTATAACAGTCAAACGTTATGACATTATACTGAAAATATTTTTCTAACTGTAAGTCACCAGGATTGCTGTTTTCTGGAGGAATATGCATTTTTAATTAACACATGAAAAATGAAGTATGCATGACAGACTCTACTGAAGAGGCATGACACATTTTTCAAAAATCCCTTAATTAACTTAGGAGCCTAAAGGGTTTTTCTACACACTCAGATACTACTTTAGCCCCATCACGGTGGTTACAGTGACTCAACCTTTCCGGCACCACGTGGACTCGCTTGTGCCTATACAGAAGACACCAAGGGATAAATAAATGAGAGACATCCAGATTGCGAAGTACAACTATTTCAAACATTTTTAGAAGTATCCCTCCCGCATCTGTTACAGCTTGTGGATCATACAAACAATTCTTGCTTCAAAAGCCATCTGCGACCTGCAGCCCGCGCAGCGAGAGCAGAGGAACGAGCCGTGTTGGGTCCGGGCGAGGCGGGACGCACCAGGGAAGAGGTGCTGCGCTCCAAGGGCTTGGGGCACGCTGAAGCCGTTTGTCTAAAGCTCCGTTTACTGCCTTAACACATCTTTTAGGGCTTTGTGACAAACTAAGAGTAATACAATGGTGTTTTAAAGTGACTTTATTTAAATTATAATCTCATAAACGTAACACAGCTGTACATTATTTCCTTGCTTCTTCCCCAGGAAATCCTTTCCTGCCCTCTTTTGTATGCATTTCTCACGTAACTCTACATTAAACCTCTGAAGACGCACTGTATAGCACGTGCTGCTGCAGGGGCACACAGCCCTCAGGAGACAACGTTTTCATAAACATGTCCACTTGAGATGCGAGTTTGCCTCTATCTCAAACGTTCCCCCACTTTTATCAGCTTACGTGGACACAAAACAAAGCCAAGTACATTCTTAAGGTTTGTATTGTCCAAAGTCATCGTGCTCAGCCTGCGAAGTACATTTCAGTGTCCTTCCAGAGCAGACCGCGACATTAGTCCGATGTAAAAGCCCCCGAGAACCACGATACAGCGTTTAGAAACGGGAGAGCACAGTGTTAGGGGAAAAAAAACCCGCAAAACCCAACAGCCCTAGAACTTAACTGTAATGCTCTGCTGAAGGGGATACGCAAGCAGAACGCTCGCAGGGCCGAGCAGTGGACCCAAGCCTGGATTCAGTTCCCTGTGCCCTCAGGGCAGCCATTTTACCTCAGCGTGGCCGAGCCGGTCCCAGCTCGCCTCCGTCCTACCCTCGGCCCTCCCCGCCCGCCTGTGGAGCGGGCAGAGCCCTTTTCCCCACGCCCCCCTGGCACGCCACAAGTGACAGAGCCGCGACTGCGGCCCGGGTGCGGGTGCGGCCGCAGCCCTTCCCGCGGGGGGGAGGGGGCCCCGGGGCCCGCCAGGCCCCGCCGCGC